ACTTATGCAAAACGTGGGCTGCCTGTCACACTGCAGCCCAATTTCTTTTGCCCCTCGGCCCCTCCCACCTCATCTCCACACCCCTCTAACTTCATACACTCCATTGCTTGGACCTTTTTACTCCAGCCCCTGATTTCTCTTAAGATCTTCATCAGCTTTCTGCCCACCCCTCTGCAGCTGCGTGCTCTGAGCCCTCGAGTCCAATTTCTCATACCCACAGTCTGATTTCTTTCCTTCTGGTGATCTGATAAGATTTCCCCCCAATACTTGATTTCTTCAAGACCCTGCCTGACTTCATCCTACCTCAGCCTGAATTTCTGGCCTTCTTGACCCCCCACTCAGTGCTCTCAGACCCACGTCCCAGGGGTGATGCAGCATCACTGTGGATAGTGCCTGGAGAGAAGATGCAGGTGTGGCAAGCTGCCAAGAGCCATGGGCGCCGCTTCAGGGACATCAGAGCAGAGGAGGGACAGCTGGTTCTGGGGTCCTGAAGCTGAACTCTGTCCCTGGTTCCCAGTCCCCTGGTTGCCCCACTGACCCTCGGGCACAGGCTGGCCCAGGACTGGAGAGGTGACTATTCCTGCCACCTTACAGAGACCTCAGGGATCAGGCCTCAGGCCAGATGGGGGAAGTAAGACCCCAGACCAACCCCAACCTCACAGGACACATGACCTGGCAATTTGGGTATGGAGGGGACCAGGCTAACAGGAGGGCAAACCCCTTGACCCCTCCCATCGCTTCCCACCAGCCGCTGGGCCACAGGCCGGACCACCCTGCTTGAGGGGGGAGCTGGGACCAGTGTTTATGCAACTGTGGGGAGGCCACAGCCTGGCTGGCAGTGCCGCCCGCTCAGCACCAGCGCTGACTCGGCAGAGTCCCCAGCACGTACACACTCAGACACATGCACAGACAGGCACACACACACGGAGATAACACACTTGTGCGTATGCACAGACAAACGGGCACACACATACACAAGTGTTCACACATGGGCACTCACACTCACACTGTGGACAGACACACAAACACGCACAAACACAAGGAAATACGCAGCCACAGCAGGCAGGAAGATGCGGGTGTGAGCTGCTGGATAAGTGGTCTGGTCTCATGCCCTGGTGGGAAAACTCCAGCATCTCCTAGAGGCCCCGTAAGGCTGAGCCCCCACTGCCCGCAGGGCCATCGCTCCTACTCACCCATTGGACTGCCTGCCCTTCCCAGCTGCTCTGCCACACTCCCCAGGGTCACCTCCCCGGGACACTGCTGGCATTCAGGTCTTCATCTCAGCTCTGCTTCTGGGAAGCCCAGCCCTAGACACTCAGTGTCCCCTCTCATGTTTTGTTGTTGTTGTTGTTTCTTTTACAGAACTCCCCAGCCCCTGGCAACCACCAGTCTACTTTCTGTCTCTATGAATTTAACAACTCCAGGTCCCTCATTTAAGTGGAATCTTACAGAATATTGGTCCTTCCATGACTGGCATTTCATTAGCATAATACCCTCGAAGCTCATCTGTGGTGTAGCCTGTGTCCGAATTTCCTTCCTCTTTAAGGCTGAAAGCGACCCCATTATATGGATACACCATATTTTGTTCACCCATTCATCTGTTGACGGGCATCTGGACTGTTTCTACCTTTTGGCTACTGTGAATAATGCTGCACTGGACGTGGGTGTGTGAATATCTCTTCCAGTCCCTGCTTTCAATTCTCTTGGGTATGTGCTTAGAAGTGGAATTGCTGGGTCATATAGTAATTACTTTTTTAGTTTTGTGAGGAACCTCCATGCCATTTTCCACAGCAGCTGCACCATCTCACAGACAGTGCTCTATATCAAGGGCCACAGCAGGGCTGCTGTCTCCAGAAGGGGAAAGGAGAGGGCAAAGCAGGGAGTGGGCACCCAGGCCTCTTCCAGTCCAGCCCTGCTCCTACCCCAGTGTCCCGGTGGGCGGGCTCCCAGGGTGGGCACACCAGATGGGACAGTTTTGATCGGATGAGGTTCGATGGGGCGGTTTCGATCAGGTGAGCAGCGTTTCAAAAGGACTCTCTTTGTTTTGTCCAGGGCTCATTGGCCACATTTACAGAAGCCAACCAAAGGGCCACAGAGAGGGAAGAATGAAC